TCCGAGCCCATTAACATAACAAAATAAGTTCATCTGTGTTCCAACTCAGACAAAGATACTAACGAGGTTAATAGTTTTAGATATTTATTCATAACATAAGCAGCATTTCTGTCGATTCCATTTCAGCTTTAACCGTACTAACTGCTAGAGCAGTTATTTTCTCCTTTGAATACTTCCCACATGCAATAATGATTCTGTATCTTTTGACCATTTGGCAACTTTTCGCTTCGAAGCTGACGCGGTAACAGGTTTCCTCACACGGCTAGACATTTTGTTTACAATGGAATGGTGTGCTATGCGCATGCGCTAGTAGAGGGAAATCCCTGAACAAAACGTTGGTCAGACAGGTAGAAATCCCGATGATTATCTTAAAATTATTCATTTTTATGAATATTTATCAGCAAAATCCGGTCGTTATTTTTTACTTTTTAAATATACACTTCACCGTGATGCCCCTTTAAGAATGCATGAACCAAGGAGTCAACACGATAGTATCAAGTCTATGTTTGTTAAGCATCAGATCAATTTTCGGCTCTTCGAATTCCCTCACGCAGCAAGCAGACAGGCAAAAATAATTTCTGCAGGAGACCCAACATTAGTCGCCCTTTGCGATACCCACTTGCTTTTTTAGGTCACCTGAGACAAAGTCTCAAGTGACCTATTGCGATCGCCTTTTGTCCGTCGGCGTCCGTCGTGCGTCCTTAAACAATTTACATTTTCGACTATTTGATTCCCCTGAACCAATGAAATCTTGCAGAAATCTTCCATGGCCAAGGGTCAACCAAAAATGTGAATTATAAGATCCCCAGCCCCCAGGGGCCTGAGGGGCGGGGCTAAAAAGGATCAAATTGACTAAAATTTCAAAAATCCTCTTCTCAAGATCCAGATCTGGTAGAATCAAATACTCTTGATAGATGGAAGGGTCTTAAGGTGCTTTACCAAAATTGTGAATTTCTTGACCTTGGGGTCTCACGTTTCACCCTGGTGAGGGGGTAAACTTTACTATAGTTTATATAAGGAAATCACATTTTGGACCAACATTTGTTTAATTTCCATTGGAAGTAATTCAATTTGGGTTAGCATTATCAGTATTCGATAGCAGTTTGGTGGTATGCACATATCAGCCCTGACTGACCACCAGGGGCTGATGGGTGGGACCAAAAAGGGTCGAATTGATTGAAATTTCAAAATCTTCTTCTCAAGACCCAGATATGGTAAAATCAAATACTCTTCATAGATGGAAGAGTTTGAAGGTGCTCTACAAAAAATGTGAATTTTATGACCCTAGAGTCTCACGATTACCCCTGGGGAAAAGGGGGCACAATTTATTATGGTTTATAATGGCAAATTATACTTTGAATATAACATGTTGATAACTTGATTGGAATTATAACCCGGAGTTGACAGTTTGATACTTCGGAATTTTTTAGCCAGCCCTACCCCCAAGGGCTGTAGGGCGGGGCCCAAAGGAGTCAGTGTGCTAAAAATTCTTTATTTTCCTTCTTTAGAATCAGAGGTGCTAGTTTCAAATACTTTTCAGTCTTAAATCTGTATGCTAGATATTGAATAAGGTGGTTTTATTGTTTTTTGTCACTTTGAATAATACTTCTATTCATGTTTTAAAAACAAAAATCAACTCTCTATATAAATATATCAGAACTCAGGTGACCGTTAAGGCCCATGGACCTCTTGTTTCAGTATGTAGTTTGATTTAATTTGGATTAAGTTCCATCAACAGCCAGTCATTGAAGGAGGTTAAGTTTTAACATATCGTATTGTTCAATGATACCAAGAGATAGGACGACAGGTACTTTCAACTGTTCTCTGTCAAACACATATTGTGCAAATACTCTACATACATGTTGGTTAAAGAGACCTAATACATATGATGGACGGTGGGAACGGTAGAAGGATTAGGCGGTGAGGGTTGGGGATATTAACTAGAAATAAATCATATAAAGCGTGTATTTGGCAATTTGGAAATGTTTCAAAATGAACGGAAGCAATGTAACAAAGAAATCGGGCAAAATAATGAAGTGCAATTTCATAAAAATGAGGAAAAATAAGTAATTAACACCTATTGCTTGATTTGATGCATATGAAAATGTTGTGTAGAGGTCTAACGAAAATTGTGTGTTACCAAAAAAGTAGTTCTTAATTGAAATCAACATGCAGGGCATTCAAATTTTCGAGCAAGATGCGTCTTTCATTACTGACAAAAAATCCCAGAGTTTGGTTTAGAGTGGTTTGGTTTAGTATTGTTTCACGTCCTATCAACAGCTATGGCCATTTAAGAACGGCCTTCCATGTGTGTAAGATGCATGCGTGTGTGTTTTGGGAGGCTGCGATATTTACGCGTTTGTCTCCTTGTGATAGCGTGGAAGTAATGCCGACTTTATAGTGCTTCCTCACTGAAACATACTGTCAAAGACACCCAACAGGACCTGGTTACATTATTCTGACAACGGGCGAACCAGTCGTCCCACTTCTAACCCACTCCTAAATTGATGAGCGTTAAGCAGGAGTAAAAGCTACCATTTTTACAGACTATTTCCCCTATTGGCCCCACCCCTCTGCCCCTTCGGGCAGGTGAGCTAAAAAGATATACGCTTATATAATAATTCATATTTAAATATAAATGAACTAAAGTTATTGATTTTCTTTCTATATCGGTGTTAAGTATATTTCATGCAGAAAAATACGCAACTGTGTAAGTACGGAGTCACCTTTTCATATTTGCCGTTTGTCACACTCTACATAAATAAGGCCATATTATCAATATCACTAAATCCAAAATGATCAGTTTTGCTACGGGAGATACACTGTCGGGTATACAGCGAGGCCCTTGCTGACCTATCAGTATTCTTGTTGATCGACTTATTCCCGTTTGTTTCATTAATGCAGTATTAATGCAGTTCTACATTTATTGTGATCAAATTTGATTTGCATTTAAATTTAAAAACATTGTCAGAACATTATTCGTTGTAAAGTATAGTCTTAAATCATTAGCCGACTTTATAGTGCTTCCTCACTGAAACATACTGCCGAAGACACCCAGCAAGACGACCCACCCGGTCACATTATACTGACAACGGGCGAACCAGTCGTCCAACTCCTAATTTGCTGAGCGTTAAGCAGAAGTAGAAACTACCATTTTTGCAGACTCTGGTATATCTCGGCTAGGGGACAGAACCCAAAGCCTTCTTCACAAGCTGGTGCCAACTATCGTACCATCTTTATTAGTTCTATGTCGGTTCGATCTCTTCTCTTCTTTTTTTCTGTTTGATTGAGTCATATATATAGTTAATGTACATTGAGGTTACTTTTGATCTAAACTTGATACTTGAAAATAAATGAACATAATTACTTAAATGAAATCAATAAATAGATGCAGGAGGGTATAGATGGTAAAGACAGTTTACATTTGTAGGTGATGTAGAAGGGTGTAGGTGGTACAGGGAGTATAGGTGGTGTAGGAGGGTATATGTGGTATATGAATAATATGATGTAGGAGGGTATAGGTGGTATAGGAAGTATAGATGATGTAGGGGGACATAGGTGGTATATGAAGTATAAGGTGATGTTTGTTTGTTTGTTTGTTTGATTTTGTTTAACGTCCTATTAACAGCTAAGGTCATTTAAGGACGGCCTCCCCTGTGTGCAAGATGCATGCGTGTAGTGTATGTGTGTGTATTTTGGGAGGCTGCGATATAAGGTGATGTAGGAGGATATAGTTTATAAAGCTGATGTAGCAGGGTATATGTGGTATAGGAAGTATAGGTGGTGTAGGAAGTATAGGTGATGTAGGAGGGTATAGTTGGTATATGAAGTAAAGATGGTGTAGGAGGGTATAGATGGAAAATGAAGTTACGGCGACTTAGCAGGGTATAGAAAGTAAAGGTGAGGTAGGAGGGCAAAGGGGGTATAGGAAGTTAAGTTGATTTAGGATGGCAAAGGGGGTATATGACGTATAGGTAATGAAGGAGGGTATATGTGGTGTATGACGTGTAGGTTATTTAGGAGGGTATATGTGATATATGACGTGTAGGTGATGAAGGAGGGTACATGTGATATAGAAAGTAAAGGGGATGTAGGATGGTATAGGTGGTATATGACGTATAGGTGATGAAGGAAGGTATAGGTGGTTTAGGAAGTATAGATGATGAAGAAGGGTATAGGTGGTATAGGACGTATAGTTACTGTAGGAGGATATAGGTGATATAGGAAGTATAACTGATATAGGATGGTATAGGTGGTAAAGGAAGTAATTGTACATTAATACAGCACCTGAGCTTTCTTTATGAATTAACATACTACAGCTTATACATTTCTAGAAGTATTATATATGATAACAATAAAGAGATGGAGATTATAGAAGTATAATTCGAATTCGACATCGATAACTAGAGAAAATATGAACCTGAGGAATATTCAGTGCTGATTCTAGGATTTCTTCAATTGGGGGCCTTGGGCCCCTTCAGTGTGAAATAGGGGGTGCTGCTGCCAAAGGCAGCAGCCGAGGAGCGAAGCGACGAGGCAGGGGAGGGTGCGGGAGGGGGCAGCAGCCCCCTCCTCCCAGGGGTGTATGGGGGATCTCCCCCAGAAAAATTTTGATATCTAAGTGACTGTAGGTGCATTTTAGTGTATTTTTTACACTTTGAACATGAGATCAATCACAGTAAAAAAAAAGATATTTTTATACATTTGTGTGTGCTCTTAATTTTCTCTCTCTTAATTTCTTTATATTGATGGACCCAGCTGTACTATTCTATAATTCAAACCTGATCATGAACAGGAGCCAAACTTGTAAATCAATTTTAAGTTTTATTAATGAAAAAAAGTATTGAAAGCACATCATTTTGCTACATCTTTTCCTGGTGATAGTCATAAGGAAAGTCCAAAATTATAATAAAGTTTGTTCTGTACTGTTAACCTAATGCTTCAAGACAGGGAGCACCCTTACTAGGTAAAGTACAAATGTTGGTTTTAACATAGCAAATCTACGGGATACCCCTCCTTTGCTTCTTCCCTTTCCATATCAATAATGCCTTAGACATGTCATACTCTTCCAGCTTGCCCCCTTCACATTTTATTGTCATAAGCGTATTTAAATGCTCCTCGCACATGCGGTTCCGTCTGGCCGTCTTTATGCCATTTTGACAGCTGAACCCCCGCTCACAATCAGCCGTTTGGTAGGGCATGATTAGGCAGAGGTTAGCAAGTACCAATAAGTTTGGAAGCACATCCTCATGGAATTGAAATAAAAGTTTCAACAACAACCTAGTGCTGTCTCTTGGATACATCTGGTCTAGAACAATGCCCTTAGCCAGATGCCATTCCTCGACACACTTGACAGGATCCACCATGGCGGGGCTGGTAACATCACCTTTGGACATCTCTGCACCATAATGGTCGACCAGGATTTTGATTTCTTTTTCTCCATACTTGTTCTGAGCTTCCTTGGAGAGGAAGGACAGACTTCTCATACCAAACACATGAAAAGCTGACGACACTGTAACCGACTCTAGTGGAAACCTTTCATCAATGTTCTTACCGAGAGTATCACAAAATGTGTGCCGTATTTCCTCTAGATCCTTGTTTGTTGTTCTCAATTTTTTGCCAAAGTCCAACTGGTGACCTTTCATTTCAACCTCTGTGACATCTCCTGCCTTCTTTGTTTTCAGTTTCTCCCGGAGTTCCTCTTGGTAATGAGATTTCCTCCTTCGAGCAAGCTTGATCTTGTCTTTCAGTCCTTCAAACGCAGGCTTAACAGCAGCAACATCTATATCCTGTTTCTGTAGTACCATGGACATCTGTGCTACTGAAGGCAATATGTCCATCAAAAGATAAAGCACTACCACAAATCTGTAATCCAGTAGTTTGGATCTCAGTCCTTTTGATGATTTGTCGTGTCGTTTGAAGTAGGTAACTAGAGAGGGCCAACATCTGTAGATAGCAAATACAGCCTCTGAAAAGGCAATCCAGCGGATTTCGTGGCATTCTTTAACTTTCACCTTGGGATCATTAAGAATCTTTTGAATATCTTCTAACTCGCACTTCCGGTTTCCTGATTTACTTCCACCAAAGTAATAGTACAAATCACTCAAGGTTTTCTCAAATTCCTGAAGATATGGAATGTGCTTTGATGCCTGGGAGGTAGCCAAATTAAATCTATGTGCCATGCAGTGGATATTAACACAATGAGGGCTTTTACCCTTCACCTTTGTCGCCACTCCATTGTGTTTCCCCACCATCACTGAGGCCCCATCAGAACCAAATCCCTTCACTTTCTTCAGGTCAAGACCATGATCTGTCAGGCACTTCTCCATGGCTTCAAATAGGACATTTGCATCAGATTTAGGATTGTCAATTGTTACATTTTGCAAAAAATGTGTGTGAGGAATAAAAGCTGAATCAATAACTCGTATATATAGCACCATCTGTTTTGTGATAGAAATGTCAGTGCTTTCATCAGTTAAAATTGAAAACATATCAGCCAACTTTATTTTCTCAATGATATCAGTCCGTATCGCCTCTGCGACACAGGCTTGGAAGTCCTCCCCTGCAGATCTGGACATGTAAGTAGCATTTCTTCCACTTCCCAGCTTTTCTAGCTTTCCACATTCCTGGTGTTTCAATAACTCCATCATGCTGGTGTATTTTTTAATAGGAATGTCCTCCTTAGCCATCCAAAACACAGTTTTCATTGCAGCCTCAACCCCTTCTTTCGCATGTGCGACTGACTGCATCTTGGCTGTTGCAGCTGCCTACAAACAAAATTCAAAATGAAAATTAAAAGTTTCAACTAAATACATGTACTAGCTTACAAATAAACAGGGTCAATATTTTAGAATAATGCTATTGATTTTATCTCAACAGTTGAAAGCTACATGTATGAAGAAAATGTAGAGATTTAAAATTCTACTTAACAGAATACCATATAACTGGACTAGTACTGGTCAAATTATGTTAATCTACATCTCATATTCCACCTTTTTTTAAAATTTCAAGTGGTACAATATTGAGCATTTGAAAAGTGTTAACAACTTGGGCAGCATGCCCCCTATCCTAGGCCGTTTTAAATTGCCCCCGACCCTCAATAACCCACTGTCTTAATACAAGCTACAGTGTAAGCAAATTGAAATTTGTTCTTAAGTAATTCTGTATTTGAAAAGTGCTGAAAATTGCGTGGCCCCTAGCTTAAGGCCGTTTCAAATTACCCCTCGACCCTCAATACCCCACGCCTGTCTTATAATACAGGCTTTAACAAATTCAAATTAACACAATCACGAGAAATACTGTAACAGTTAGGCGTATAAATCATTCACAAATCCAGAACATACCTGGTTAAAGTCTTTTTGTAAAGCCTCTGCTCTCAGGCTATCTGTATGATCCATAGACCCGGCATGTCTCGTCAGTGTGCTCGTCCGAAAATTGACACATCCATCAGCAGACGTAAAAGGGTTAGATTTGTGATGTTTTTCACATACGGAACATTTCATTCCCTTCTCCTCTTTTCGAAGCCATTGCCATTGTCCAGTCCACTTTTGATGAAACACCTTCGTTTTTCGTTTTTTAACAGCACTTCCGGAAGTCTCGACATCGTCTGCTCCAGTTTCACTGTTTGGTTCACCTGCTTCGGTTTCAGATTCGTCGGTAACCTCTCTCTCATCCCTGTCTAAATGGTGGCGGTTTGCCGTGAAACTAAACTCAAACAGCGTTCTTTTCCTATTCATTTAGAAGCTGTACATTCCCCTTAGACCTCGTGTAGGTCCAGTACGAGGTCGCCGCACGTGCGAGAATGTTTATTTTAAGAGCTTCATTCTGATTGGCTTAGCTTTAATAAATCAGCCAATGAAAACTGTCATTTCAAAAGACGTTTCGGTCTCTCGCACAACATGGCCGACTTTGTTATCGTACAACGATTGAACCGTGAAAGAAATAAATGAACGCAAAGGATTGTCTGAAAGGGGGGATTTATCAAAGAGTTGCGGCATTGGACCCGCACTGAGGTTTGAATTATGCGGGGTTCTTTATATTTTTGCGGGAATTCCGCGATCCCGCGCCCTAGAAGCAACACTGATATTAGTAGAGACTTGTTTTGTTGTTTAACTTGACGTAACTTGACGTGATTCAGTCCAAATGTGTCCACAAAATCGGAAATCTGGAATGGTGATCCCGCCCCTAATTAGCAGTTACATGTATGTGGTAAGTCCCGGATAGGATTGGAAACAATTCATTGCATGTAATCTTCCTATATAGCTTGTACTTATTTTGAAATAGTGTATATCTGCTATATTGTATTCCATAAAGGGTACATACTGGTTTCTATCGGTATTAATCGACGTATCCAGTACACAAACCAACAGCCACGCCGTTGACACGTGACTCATGTATGGAGGTGCTGTTTTTTTTATAGTATTCAAGCGGTTCCTGATTATTTTGCACGATTACTAGTTTACCATATAATACACAATAAAATACGTATTATTGTATTTTACAAGAAAATTACATGATGGGGAATATTGTCTGCGAATAGAAATCGAAATATAAAAGTTTATTTGTATCAAAACTGCAAATGTCTCATGATTTAACCGTTGCTGTTTTACATAAAGCGACACAGATTTAGTTACAAATATAGAGATGATTTGATTGTATTTTTTACAAACGCCTTTTATAAACTGTTTTCGGGGTGACCCACCCCAGCAGTGTTTCATTCCTACAACCCTTTCTCACTCACGTACACAGTACTCTCGTGTACATCGGGGATCTAAACAATCGCTACAACTAACGGAGCGGTCCGTCCTGCTTTTTATCTAACATGGAGGACAAGGTACACACAGTTTTAATTGAATCTTGAAACAGACTTTGTCTATTCAAATTGACGTGGGTGACGAATTCTATTTTGGATTAAAATGTCCCCATCAACGAGTCTAGAGGCAGAGACGGAAACAACGGTGGGGTCCAAAAGTTTTGGGTTTTCAGGAAAGGTCAACTGGAATTAATGTCCGGAGTGAGGTTTTACTGTATTGTTAATCATAGTGAAAAAAATATTAGTATCAAATTTACTATGTTTCCATTGTACAAGTAATGCTTAATATATTAAAAAACGATTAACATTAAAGAAACCTAAAAAATCTATTGTACTCAAAATCTGTCCCGGGTGATACCGACGAGATTCTTAAATTTACATCTAGAGCCACATAAAACAAGTTCGGACCTTTGGTGTAAGGACCACAACACAGAAGAGATCACTTCCAAAAACTACCCTGGCCATCCCCTTTTAAAATCCTTTATCCAGAGACATATATATATACTATAATCAATTGATTGATTGATTGATTGAATGATAGGTTTTACGTCCGCTTCATTAACGTCTCTGATCAGACGTTTACGTTTCTGGACTGAAATGGGGATGCCCAGGAGGCTAAACGTAAAGTACCGGTGAGAGGTAGTGCTCCCCCGCTGAGCTAAGGCCACCCCTGATAGCGATCATGGTCATCGTAACTAACACACCGGTCTGTTCTTGTTTACATATCCAGGTAAATTAGCAAAAAGGATTTGATATTAGATGAAATTATCATAAAATAGCAACAACTAGAAACATAAATTCATGATTTTTTAAGTAGAATAAAATGTGCTTAGAGATATAAAAGAAAAGTTGAAAAATATGAAAATTTTAATTAGATACAGTGGAAAGTTTTATTTGTCTTTTGAAATTCGGAATGAATACTAAACTCATTCAACCTCTTGACACACGAACCAGTTGCTTAACTTATATCTGAAAGAAGTTACATACAGTCATACAAAAGGACGGTTTTATATACTGGACATGTTTGTGCCAATTATAAGATATAAATGATATATTTTATTTCCTATCAAAATACCTCTTAGTTGAAGATTTAAGAAAGGAATTTCAGAAAAATAAAACTTTTATGTTAGTTCAAAAATTATTTCAAAAGAAATGATGCCGTCATTCGTCAGTCAGATACCGAAGTCGGCGTTGATGACATCGGTACCGCCCAACCCCTCACCCACACACTTTTTATGTTTTTTACGGTACTAGTGATCTAAATCTCATTTGAATGAAATTGATATAAAATACATAAACCACATTCAGACATAATTATAGCGTTATTTCAAATAATAAACACTAATCCAAACCCTTTGTTATCTATGCCTCACAACCATACGTTTTCATAATGAAAAGGGCATAAAGTGTTACTCATCTTCATTATTATATACCCGAAGTTACCCC